ATCATGACCATATAGATCACATAAAATGCGATTCGTAAGGTCCATTTGGACAATCCAACGGCTCCAACGTACAAGGTAATTATTTATGAGGGAATTATTTATAAGTGAAGAAAATTATTATTATTATTATTATTTTCTTTACATTTCGTTGATAAGCAAGAGTGACAAGAAGCGCCCATACGTGAGGGGACCAAGTTGGGCTATATTTACTCTCCTAAACGGGTGGAGGGAAAAAGCTGTCTTATACCATGCTCCACATGAGCATAAAAAATCTATGGTTAATGGTCAATGGTCATCCAATCAACTGATGGATGACGATCGAAAGGGACTGGGCCTATTAATCATATCATGTCATCCTCTCCTAGATCCATCTCTCTACGTTACCGTTCATTCCTGATATCAGACGGTCACACACTTATTGATAGATTTGTTCTGGTCGTGCAACATAGCATACTCTTAATCTCTTTCATCAAGAAAATCTCTTTATAAAGATTATTTATGATTGAGATTAATTATAACTACTCTGTAACAAGGATATATGGTCTCATTATATATTTTTTCCTTTATAAAACTTATGTTTTTCTCTTTATAAAACATGTCATTTCATAATTAAAAATACTCAAGTTATTTATTATTTAAAAAAAAAAAACTCAAGCCAGTTATGAATTTCCACTATACCGATACAACAATGCAGGTATGCCTCAACACCCCGCTCAGTGGGAAACATTTGTCCCTCTCAATTTCGACTCACAAGGTCAAGTAAACCCTAACCACCCACCCAACTTTGCTATTAACAGGGTTGAAAAAAAGATCTATGTGATCTTTTGCTCGGGACATACAAATTTTTTTTTTTTTAATAATAATCACCCTTATAATTTTGGCAACAAGATCACTAACAAATGGTCTTATTACAAATAATAGAAATTTCAAAAATAAATAATACATCAATAAAATAAATCTCAACTACTTGATGTCATTCATACAACCTAATACTGTACTTGAGAATATAAAATAAAAGAACAAGCAAATAAAAGAAAAGATGCCGGAGATTACCTCAACTGGGCTTTTTACACCCCACACCGAGTCAACACATCCAATGGCGCGGGATCTGTGGTCTAGCTTCAATCTCGACCCTGGATAACTGATTTCGGCCAAACTAGGTAACCACCCCTTAAAATCTCTACTAAACCTTAACCCCCAAAATTAACTAAGATTCCCTCTAATTTTCCCAACCCTTAAAATTAACTTAAGTCTAGAGATGATAGAGAGTACTACCTAAGGTTTTGAAGAGAGAAAATTACCAAACCCTTAAAATTAACTTAGGTCTAGAGAGGATAGAGAGTACTACCAAAGGTTTTGGAGAGAGAGAAAATTAGAGAGAGAAATATGGAGGAGAGAGAGTGAGGCGTGCCCCTTTAAGAGAGAGAGAGAGTTATGGGAGAGAAAGAGAGAGGTTGTATGTAGAGATTAGGGAAGAGCACCCCTATTTATAGTGGATATTTAGGTTTAAGATTTTTTAGGGTTTTCCCATAATTCGCCTCTTTCTTGAGATTGAATCTAGACCGTTGATCAAGTTGACTTGTGGGGTGGGAGATCTGAGCCATCCATTCTATAGATAGGCCATCAACATTATGGAATGTGCTTGGACCACTATCCTCCTTTCTTTAAACCATTTTTCCATCAATATATTTAAATAAAATAAATATCACGCATTTTATAAAATTGCATGATCCATGTCACATATTTCATAAGGATATGTCAATAATTATCAAGCAAATAAATACTACCAAATAAGATAAAGTCAATATTTCCCTTCCAAGATTTGACCACATGTCATAAATCAAAGTTACTATATTTAACAAACTTGAACACAAAGCAACAAGAGAATCTAAGTGGTGGGGCGTGGCACCCCTTTGTGGCACATGTGGGGCCCCACCCACATGCCACATGGTGGGCCTATGTGCACTTTAGGCCCCCCATAGAATTTTATAAAAAAAGATTTAAAAATAAATAAAATAGAATTAATATATATTTGAATTTTTAC